TTCATATCGTGTGCAGCATAATTGAATAAAATGCTGCAAAGAGTAGCTGGTCTTCAATGAATCTCTTCGGTTATCATCGTAATGGAGACTTTCGTTTTGTGTGAAAGTGCATGATGAAGAGATCGGTTGGTTGATCCCACCGGAAGACGACAGCATCGTCCGTCATGCCATTTGGCCAACATTCTCAGAGTTGAAACTCATTCTCGCACAAGCCTTAATGTGGCACTATGTTGAGCCTGTATCTGTACATTATCATTTTTAACTATGAGTATAAACATAGTTACATAGCAGGTAGGATAGAGCTGGCTAGTCCTCTTGGCTTTTTGGCTGATTTGCAACTTCTGCAAGAATGGGTTCCAGTTGTAAGGCTGTTCGTCAAACGGCATGACGGGCAGAATCTCAGCCGTTTGTCACTCGAAACGAGAGAGGATGTGTCGTGGACTACGTGGATCGACTTAGCAAATCTCTTCGGATTCTGAGTAATTTGCACATTAGATTGACACTCCATTTGGTAGAGTGGTTTTCATTTTGTTTTAATGCCTATGCTAGGAAAAATTTCCTTAGGTTGATCTCACCAGAACTTGATTGATGCTTTTTGTTGTTCTGCTGTCGTTTGGCTTGATCTCGACGCTCAGGTTGACGCTCAGTGCACGAGTCATCCTCTTCTAGTTCTGGCTAAAGCTGTCGTGTCATTAGACATGTCTCGGCAAAATAAGAAATCATTCTTGAAAAGCTTAAAACCAGCGCTAAGAAGATTGGTTGACCCTACCTTTTATGCTATATATAACCACAATCAAAAACGAAAATATGTATGAAGTTGTTTGACCTTTTTTTCGCAACTTGGTCATATTGGTAGGAAGACTAAGAGGAACGCACCTAGTTCGGAGTCAATAGTATGCATGATAATTTCTATGTTCTGACCGACAACTTGATACATTCCCAGAAGCTTCGTCGGCATTGTAGTTGGCATCGTCAGTGAGTCTTGTCATCCTCAGCACCACACTACAACTCGTCAAAGAGACAAGTGAATTCGATCCTCTGACCAATTGTCCACTAAACAGTTTTGGTATCTCTACTTCTGTCCTGGGCTATTCACCAATCCTATATCCTCGTATCACTCGTTCACTAGCATAATTTCTTATTTACATGTGATACGGTGTGACCTTTTTAGTAGATTTCATGAGAACTCTTCAAACCCCGCAATCCTCTCCATTGATCTTATCAAAGTCTCTCTCTTGCATCATAGGATGCGTGAGTAGTTCACTCAACTTATGCCATCCTATCTGTGCTATTTGAGGCGGTATTTCCCGCACTCTGCCTCTGGGAGACTAACTTGAGGCCAAAGACCACGATTAATTCTCATGATCAATTATTTGCTTCATATACCCCGTCTATGATGAAACACATCTATTATTAGCCAACAAGCTCCAGTCTCCGCCGCGTCTATCCTGTTTCTATCTGTAATACCAATTCTATGACTTCCCATGCCATAGTCTCTTGTGTGCCAATCCACAAATGTTGCAGTTTCACATTGAACCTAATCATAACAAGTAGTACCACAACGTGTGTGGGTTAGCACACAAGAGACTAGGGCATAACAAGTCATAAACTTGGTATTACAGATAGAAACAGGATAGACGTGACGGAGACTGGAGCTAGTTGGGTGACAGTAGGTATACAACTTCTTTCTGATCTTTCAGTTTTTATAATTGAGTGCATGGGTTAGCATGAATAATTATGATAGATTGTTGTGAAGATTTAAATTTCTCAGGAAAGTTTATAATGGCTTAGACGCGTATATATATATATATATATATAGACAACTAGCTACAGATATATGAATAGATAGATAGACAGACAGATACATAGATGTGGTCAGGAGGTCAAGTGCACAAGGCCTTGTGTTAACTGGACCCTTTTGCAAGAATGTATTCCAGTCCAGTGGATGTCTGTCGAGTGGCATGATGAGGCAGTGCATAGCCCATTTTCATCCGAACCTAAGAAGGTCGTCTTGGAGACTAGGTCACCATGAAGGTGGATTTGAATTTGAACGAATACAAGATAATGATAATAATCTGTTGTCTTCTGGCGAGATCGACCTTTGAATCTCTTCAGCACACACGCTAGGCACGAAATGAAGATCACCACAACAATACCTTCACAGAAGGCTCATCGAAGTCCGGTTAATCGTTTGGTATGTATGTATGTATGTATGTATGTATGTATGTATGTATGTATGTATGTATGTATGTATGTATGTATGAATGTATGTATGTATGCATGTATGTATGTATGTATCCAACACGAAATGGGCTCTTTAGACAAGGCCTATCTTTCCCTGAATGTCACATACACTCTGTGGGATCCCCTGGACCACGTGTACATGAAATAACCTGATGCCCACAAGCCGATCTCGAATCCCGTTGGGGTCCCATATAAGGGACGATGATGAGAAGGTCTAAATTGTAGCACAATTTGGAGCTATGGTTAATGGAAATTTAGTTACATCCTCAGGTCTATTTACTTTGTTGTACAAATTCAGCTATAATTCATTAAAAGTGGTCTAACTTTGTTGTTCGTGTGACCATGGCGAACTAGGATAAACACACCTTTTCCAAAGTCCTCTTCCCGAGTAGTTATGAAAATTGCCAGAGTTAGACCGTGGACGTTTGGTAGGCCGCATCAGTCAGGCTTGCCGTTCTCAGCACCAAACGACAACTTGTCAAAAAGACAAATGAAGCCACTCGCTTGACCAAGTTTTCACCGACAGGTTCTGGTACACCCTCTACCATCCAATTTGTCCATACTTGACTAGTCCAGAGGTGCGACGTCTTTTAGCAAGTTAAGCGGGTCGCTATCACCCTCGTTTACTTACTTTTGCCCCCTGCCTCTCTTTCGATTTGCCCTCTGAGATCCTTTTCTTATCCTTCTTGGTTGAGTGATTTCACTCATTTTACGAAAATGATATAAAACCACTTTTATACCCTTTTAGACTACCTTTTTTCCAACTAGAAATTGTTTTTCTTTCTTTGCTTTCTGCTCGTAAACACATGCATTCATAGTCCCACCAATGAGAAGAGCTGTCGTCAAGCCGTGGTCGCTGTCGACACAGGCTCTGTGGCGACGTCTTGTTACGCGGCAGACGATCAAGCGGGCATTGCTGCTCCCGTCGACGTGTGTCTGCACTCCCGGCAACAGGAGGGCGAGACATGTGTGTGCGGTTGTGCCTGTAGCTGCGAGTGCGAGTGTGGCCGGCCAGCTCGAGTCCGGCCAGCCAGACAGGACTCGAGCCAACAGTCTCAAGTGGACTCGAGACTCGACGGTCGTCTCGACGAGATTGCCGTCGGCTGTCTGGCCTCGGAGTCGGACTCGGACTCGGACAGTTGCAGCAACAGGGCGCCCGAAACTGGTGTCGCTGTCGCCCCGTTGACTGTCGCCTTTCCGGGCGTCGTCAACCTGCCGATGTCAAGTCTGTGTCGATTGTCGCCGCCGCCAGAGCTGCCGCACTGGAGCCTGCCGTCGGATCGAGTTCCCGGCTACTCGCCAGCCGAGCTGGCGGCTGCCGAGCGCAGTTTGAAGCGGATCTCCCAGACGACCGGAAGAGCCGGAGTTGTGGACGAGGGCGACGGCGACGGCGACGGTGACGGCGAAGGAGATGCCGGCGGAGAGGGCGACGGCGACGGTGACGGTGAGGGGATGTTGAATAGGTCTGTAGGCGTGGGTACAGTTGGTGGAGGTCGCGGGGAGCAGTTGGGTGTGGCGGGCCTGCTGAGACACGTGTCCTGCGACTTGAGACAGCACAAACCCGAGAGCTCCGCACACCACCGCC